TTGGGAGTAGTAGTTCGGACCGACGTAGAGTGTTATCCAGTCGGCTAGGAACTCGCATATTTGGTCGCCCACGGGTAGCGGGAGACGGACGTGTGTGAGGAGGGTGATGAATAGGGAGAGCAGGGCGCGCCAGAGGGTATGATGTGGTGTGAAGGCGCGAGCGCCAGAGGCGGAGCTGGAGCTGGAACCGGGTATGACTAACGATAGAGATTGGGATCGAGGTAGGGAGAGATGGGTGTCTGGCTGCGTATGTGTCTCGGATGAGTGTGCGTTGCTGGATTGGTGGTGAGCGCGTCGCTCGAGGGCTTTCTCGGCGTCTTGACGCACTTTGTCCCATGTGCGGCGATAGATTCGCTCCCAGCGGGGGAATTCGGCCTCGACGCGGGATGCCATGAAGTCGCCAGCGGTCTTGCACATGACTTCTATGGCTTCACAGGCGGCATTGCTTACGAATGCCTCCTCCTTGAAGTCGAAATTGTCGACTTTGCGTTTGTCGCTGCTTTTGACAACGTTGGTAGACGGCGTGGACGGGTCCCTCGTCATGAGAGCGGTCGACGACATCTCGCTGGATAACGAAGACGGAAAGCTGATCTTTGAAGCAACAGCAGGCCATAGATCATTTATGACTGGCAGAAAGCTGTTCTCGTTCTGCGCCAGGGCCGGGAAGCCTTGAATTAGAATGGAGAGTAAGGAGCGACGGAGGTAGGGCGAAGGAGAAGTCAGATGCGAGGGTATCGACTTGAAAATGTGTAGAAGAATCGTGTGTGATTTACTGAGCGGCTTCTCCTCATCCTCCGGCTCTCGAGGAGGAGGAAGTGGCTCGTCGGATTCATCGCCGTTCAAGGTGTCAGAGAGGTGGTCAGAGTCCAAGCTCTCGACCTTCTCAGGCTCCGATTTCCATGGCTGTTTCGGATGTGACAATCTTCCTTCATTGTCTTCCACGTCTTCATCCATATACTTGGCTCGCTTTGTTCTACGGGCAGCCAAATCCTCTGCCAGGGTGGATACCAGCAGTCTCTGGTATTGCCGCTTGCGATGATCGACGGTCTTGACCTCGCCATTGGTAATTGCGAGGAGTGACGGGTTTTTTGTGCCTTCCTCGACGATGGCAGCCAGGGTCTTGAACATGGTTTCCACAAGTCTGGGGTATCCATGGTACAAATCCAGAATGCCAAATATTGAGTCAACCAAGTCATCCAAATAGGGAATCAATCGAGCACCACACAGTTTCACCATCATGAAGAGGACTTGCGGCGGGTAAGGTGAGACATCAAAGGTGTTCAGTTTCAACCCCACTGAGTTCACCAGATAGTCGACGTTTTCAATGATCATAGTGCTGGTATCCTCATACCTGCAAGAGTTGGTGAGTATTTCAAGGCATACCATCGCATGCCTCTGAAGATTAGAGTTATGTGATGCGAGCAGCTGGAGAACAGGATATAGCGCATCCATCAGCTCTGGGCGAAATGCCTCTCCGAGTTGCTGTGCTTGAAGAGCAACCGCTTCTAGTGCGAGAGCAGAAATTCGCCAATCCCTGGAGGTCTCCGCCAGTGGTTGGTCTAGAAGAGGCAACGAGTAATAATATAGCTCCTCAATCATGGCCTTACTGGTCAGACTGTGGACCGATATTTCTATGTAATCCAAAGATATAAAGTCGTCGAGGATGGCCGTGAGTTGCGAACCAGTGTTTAAGAAGTTCAGGGCCAACCAGAACGGCGCTACCACTGCATCTCCAGAGGCACGGTGAATTTGACTGATGATTGACCGTGTAATTTCACCCCCAGACTCGGACCTATTGAGACGAACGATCATCGATTGGAGGTCCTTGAGAGTCTGCTGCTGGCTCCGATGGCCCAGAAGTACAGAGGAAAATGTCAATGATCGATTGTCTCGATGCAGTACGTCCAGGCTTAGGTTCTCAACTATGTCTTGATTCACTGGCTGAGGGTTCCTGGAGGCTAGGTTGACAGCGGCAGCAACACTATCGCACAAGCCTGATGCGAGAGCAGTCGTGAGGATATCAGATCCTGACTGTACTTGGGAAAGTACCTGGAAGGCTGTTGATATTTGCTTGATTCCCCATTGCTTTGCTGCCTCATCATTGCCCTGCATAGTCCTTGGAAAGCTAGTGACCCAGGTGTGAAGAGAGTCCTTGAGAGTGTCCAACACAACAGGATATGTTGTAGCAAGATGCTTCAGAGTAGTGTAGGCGTGATTGGGTGATTCGTCTTCTGATATGGACAGGATGACAATCGTCTCCACCATGAGAGATACCGAATCGTGGAGCGTAGCCGAACACTCCTCTATGACCATTGAGCAGAGGTCCAAAAGCGCAGCCTGCACCTCCGGCCGTTCATGACGCCTTATCTGGATTACATTCGCAAGAGCCAGCCTGATCTGCGTAGTCGTCGCTTTTAACCAAGATCCATCCAGAACCACACCGTCGTCTGCTTGCTGGTCGTCCGCTTGCTGAGATTTCCTCGACTCTTCCGTGACCAAACTCGCGACTTGGTCATTCAGAACATTTCGGAGTAAGCTAGTGAGGATCTGTAGACATATTGAGAGTACCCTGAAAGAGCGGCGTATCTGAGTCGTCGGCTTCAAGACCTTTGTCAGAGCCGAAACCGTCCGTGGCATGATACTGGCAAGCACTACCCGATCAGTAACACGATCGAAGAGAGCTCGAAGTGCCTCTGCAGCTGCCACACAGTATTCGTCCGACAGGCCATCCGAAACGCCTTCGAGCAGAATGTACACAGCCTGGTCGATGATAGTGGCTGTACCAATCTCATGATAGATTGTTTGCTTTGCCACTGGCCCCTCCAAAACACCAAATATCGCTGCGAAGCACTTGAAACAAGCGATACCCAGCTCCACGGGCTGCGAATGCAGAGACGGAACTCCACTTGCTTGATTCGGCGCACCGCCCACGATTAAGATCAGCAGTATTATGAGCTGCTTGCCCAATTGAGGGGACAGGCGCCGCCGCCATCCTTTCGCAATCAGGATCCGTAGGCAATTAACAGCCAGTTCCAATGTCCGCACGGGAAGTCTCTGGGTCTCGTTGAAGATATGCGAGAGAGGGAAAAAGGCATATTCCGCTAGCTTCTCGTCCAGAGCATCTTTATCGGCGAGTTGGGTGAGGACGTTGTAGACCGGACTGAGGGCTTGGAAAACGTCGTTGGAGGTTTTCTGATGTCCACGGAAGCCAAGACCGACTGAGCTCAGCTCAACACAAGGAGCACACAGCTATAGAAAGGGATTAGCATCCTGCCATGTACCGTGGCCAACGGCCGGTTACCTTTTTGAAAGACTCCTGCCGTAGGGTCTCCATCAGGCCTAGCTACAGCTCGAAGGCCGATCGATAAAGGTTGAATAGTGGCTAAGCCATCCAGTCTGTCGCAAGATTTATTGAAGAGGCATAGCACATAAGCCGTCTGTTACTCCTGCAGCCAATAATTAGAGAAAAGTCCAAGTGAGTTGCTGAGCCGTGAGACTGAGTATATGCTTCTGGTATCTCTTGTTTCTTTGCTTCTCCGCCTTTTGCCCGCATTTTCTGCCGCCCTTCACAGGCGGTGTGCATAATACACTTGTAGCATGATGAACAGATGAAGCATCGAGTTTAATGAAAAGACACGCATAGCAGAACATCTGAGTCCCCAAGTAATCCTACTTGAAATGAGACTTGTAGTCATCATTTGACCACTCGAAACCCCCTAATTGCGACATAAGTTCCCTGGTGTTGCATTGGTGAGGAATCGAGACAGTGCACGTGATCTCACATAGTCTCGCGTCACTACACGTCGCGTTCCCGCGAAAGGCTGCCTGCTGCCGGCGCAGATTGCTGCCTTAATCGTACAATCAAGGCCTCGAGACATACTGGCGTCTATTTAATGGCCTTTGAGCTCCTGTGATATATGACATACTCTTCTGAAATTACTTGATGTCAAATTGTACAAGCCCTTGAAGGTGTCGTTGTGACACCTATGTCCACTCTCCGCATCTCCGCATCCATTGCGCCTCTATCGCACTATTGCCGCGGACCTGTCGCCTTTACTGCAAAAGCTCGAAATTCATATCGCACTTCACCGTGGACGTTCCCGGGTTACGGCAGACCCGTGTTTTTGTCTGGAGCCACTTGTCCGCTCATTTCTTCAACTTATCGCTCTTTGACCATTACTACGAGCCCTGCAATGGCAGATTCTAAGGGTAGGAAACAAGCAACGTTGGGGTATGTTCGAGACTCTCAATTGACCCTCGGGTGCGTTCTTTAGATGGACCAAACACTCCGCATCGCGAATTCTTATGCAACTTGATTGTGCTGACGAATATGGTCTGCACCATACAGGCGATTCTTCGGCTCCAGTGCAGATGCGCCGAGGACCGCACATAAAAAGCAAACGACCTTATCCTTCTCGAACAAGAAAGACAAGAAGAGCGATGTTGCAGGCGGACAAGCGAAAGCTGAGGAACCTTCAACTACCACTGAAGCAAAGTCAGAGCCTGGAAATGGCGAAGATGTAAAAATGGAGGATTTGCCGGAAACAAAGGTGGCTCATACGGACGGTTCTCCTGGCTCCAAGTCTCTTAAACGAGAAAAGAGCAGCGATGAGGAAAGTGACTCCGACGTTCAACCAGTACATAAAAGACGCCGGAAGAGCTCGCGAGGGGCCGAAGCGGCTCCTACCGTACGGAAGAAGTCGCCGTCACCAAAGAGGTCTAAAAATCGCGAGGCCGAGGCCAAGGAAAGCTCGCCACCTGCCATCTTGAAGAAGGCATCTGGCGAGGAAACACCAGAGAAAGAAATGGAGCCTTCGGAAGAAGAGGACGTCCTGTCTGCTAGCGAGGAGGAAGAAGACGAGAAGCCCGAAGTGATGAAGAAGACGATGGAAAAGGTGCAGGCCACGTTAAAAGCGACCGGCAAGGAACCGTATCCTGACTGGAAACCCGGTGAACCTGTTCCTTACGCAGCTCTCTGCACCACCTTTTCTCTCATTGAAATGACCACGAAGCGACTGATCATTCTGGCCCATTGCTCTCTCTTCCTCCGCCAAGTCCTCCGTTTGACGCCGCAAGACCTTCTCCCGACGGTTCAACTGATGATCAACAAATTAGCTGCAGACTATGCCGGAATTGAGTTGGGTATTGGCGAGTCATTCATCATGAAGGCTATCGGCGAAAGTACGGGGCGTAGTTTGGCTGTGATCAAAGCAGATCAACACGAGATCGGCGATCTGGGCTTGGTAGCTGCCAAGAGTCGATCAAACCAGCCGACCATGTTCAAACCCAAGCCCCTGACCGTCAGAGGGGTGCATGAAGGTCTGATCGCTATTGCCAAAATCCAGGGCCAGGGATCTCAAGATAAGAAGATCTCCGCTATCAAGAAGCTTCTTTCCGCGGCCGATGCCGCAACGGCAGGAAAAGGTGGCAAGGGTGTCGACATTACGAAGGACAAAGGAGGCCCCAGCGAAGCCAAGTTCATCGTCCGATTCCTGGAGGGCAAGTTGAGACTTGGCCTGGCGGAAAAGACAGTCCTCGTGGCTCTCGCTCAAGCGGTGGTGGCCCATGAGGCTGCTGTCAGAGGCGAAAAGGCACCTTCTCCTGAGAAGATGGCGCAGGGCGAAGCTGTCCTTAAGACGGTATACAGTGAGCTACCCGCTTACGAAGTCATCATCCCTGCAATGCTCGAACATGGCCTGTTCAACTTACCCAAGGTCTGCAAGCTACAACCAGGAATTCCCATCAAGCCCATGCTTGCAAAACCTACGAAGTCTATCACTGAGGTGCTCAACCGATTCGAAGGAAAGGATTTCACCTGCGAGTACAAGTATGATGGCGAGCGAGCTCAGATCCATTACGTCGCACCCGATGTCATTCAGAACTACCCGGGGGCAACAGCTACCCTGCAAAAGGATTCCAAGGGACTTAGTGCGATTTTCTCACGAAACTCGGAAGACTTGTCAAAGAAGTACCCCGATGTGCTGGCCAAACTCGAGACTTGGGTCAAGGACGGAGTGAAGAGCTTTGTCTTGGACTGTGAGACTGTGGCTTGGGACACGGTGAACAAGAAGGTTCTACCATTCCAGCAGCTTATGACTCGTAAACGGAAGGATGTCAAAGCAGAGGATGTCAAGGTCAAAGTTTGCATTTTTGCATTTGATCTTCTGTTTTTGAATGGCGAAGTGAGCTTCCCCCGTGGCCTAGTCGTACTAATCTTCGTGACTGACTTTTGGTAGGCTACTGTCAAGAAGACGTTACGCGAACGTCGCGAGCTCCTGCACAAGTCATTCGAGGTTGCTGAGGGCGAATTCCAATTCGCTCAGCACGGCGATACGAATGATCTGGAAGAGATTCAGAATTTGCTGGACGAAAGTGTCAAGGCGTCATGCGAAGGGCTGATGGTGAAAATGTTGGATACGGAAGAGAGCGGCTACGAGCCCAGCAAACGAAGTCGTAACTGGCTGAAGGTATTTTCGCCATGCCTACTTCTATCCAGATAGTGACCCAGCTGACGTCTATCAGGTCAAGAAGGATTACCTCGCAGGCGTTGGAGATTCCCTCGACCTCGTTGTGCTTGGGGCTTACTATGGCCGGGGCAAGCGGACGTCTGTCTACGGAGCTTTCCTGCTGGCTGCGTACAATACAAGCACACAGACTTACGAGACGATCTGCAACATTGGCACGGGTTTCTCAGAAGCGCTTCTGGAAGAGCTCCATAAAGAGCTCTCGCCTTTCACGATAGACCGGCCCAAGCCGTTCTACTCGCATTCCACCGTCCCCAAGGATCAACCCGACGTGTGGTTTGAACCACGGTTGGTCTGGGAGGTGAAGACAGCGGATCTGACCCTGAGCCCACGGTATAAGGCTGCAGCCAATGAATTCGTGGGGACCACGGGCGGTGGAAAGGGCGTTTCTCTCCGCTTTCCACGGTTCATCAAATCACGCGACGACAAGAAGCCCGAGCAGGCGACGACCACGAGGGCAGTGGCAGAGATGTATCGGAAGCAGGAGGCCGTCCTGAAAGAAAACGCCGGCAAAGGAGGCGTGGACGATGACTTTGAGTATTGAACGGAGCCTGTCTATCTCTTTGTTTGTAGGATAGTCGGTCCATGTAGGCATGGATGTCAGTCAGTCAGAATTGAAGTAGCCATTAGTGGCCCTATTGCATAATGCTCAATAATTTCGTAATCCGCTGGGCTACAGCAACCGAGTATAGCTATATTCTCACTGTCTCACTCTGTGCGAAGGTAGCCAATGACCAGTAGACTAACAGGCAGATGTTATCAGTAGTAGGTACCGTCAAGAACAAGGCTGGTCTCCAGGTAAATGTCTTGGCGAGTGGGCTCCCGTCGGTGTTTCTTCCTCCTCTGATTGTAAGTCTATCACCATCAAGTTATCAACCAACCATCATCAGTTACCAATAATCTAGATATCCACCTTGGGAGAACCAAGACCTTCCAGACCGAGGCATCCTTTTACAAAAATGAGCTCATCCACGCCGCCAGAGTTCTGGACCAATCAACACCAAAGCTCGCAGGGACAAAGAGCCAAGAAACGCCTTGACGCTGGCTCGGATTGGCTCCCCCCGTGAATAAGGCGGTAAGTCAACTGGTTATTGATTGATGATTATTGACGATATTGCTCTAACGCCATGGTATGATGGCTATCATCGGCAAAGCTGACAGAAGCGCACTCTAGTTCCTGACATCCTGCAGGTTGATGGACAATGCCAGGATCCTTCGACAACGAATGGCGCCATCTCGCATCCAAATGCTTCGATGATGCTTGGCATTGTAACCCAAGACTGTGGAGACCGAGACAGCGTCCAAGACGGCCCTCTGCTGCTGCGATTTCCGCCCTCGTTGAGCAGGCTTAGCTGTCCGAGACCCGTTCTGGCGTGGGGAATGGGCTCCATCCGAGCGTCCGTGGATGTAACGTGTTTATCATTGCTGAGAGCAGTTTAGTGGTGATAATAACATCTATCCCTATCAGGCAGGTCGTCAGGGATCATGGATTATGGAGCATGGATGCCGCATGGCCATTGCAGGGGAAATTAATGATCATTAGTATCGGTGATGACTGATTTTGATTCCAGCTTATTATTATGATTATCCGGTGTAGGGGAAAGTGCGGAGGTGGCCGGGGCAAGCAAGGGCATACTACATAAATTGCTCATAGTCAGCACCCCAGCTCGGATTTTGGTCTGTCCCTCAAGGAAAGCATTCTTTGTTGATTGGGATCTGAGTCCATCATGGGAGCTTTCCGGTGGCTCTCCATTGCCGCTGCGGCATCGACCGCATTGGCTCTTACGCCTGAGTGAGTGGAATTGTTGGCACTTGACAAGGCTACAGATTCGAACAGCAATATCTAATGAACAGTTGATCTACAGGCAGTTAATCACTGCTCCACGGAGGTCTGAAGCCATCCCCGACCCATCTGGTGTAAGTCCAAGCCCATGATTACCGGTCGTATAGGGATGTTGGCTGACAGGCTCATAGAAAGTTGCGGTCTTCTCGACGTCGCAATACTCGTTTGAAAATCACAAACGGACCTCGTGGTGGAGCCTGTTGGATCTGAAGACTGGTCAAACCAAGGTCCTCACCAATGACAGCAGCGTGTCCGAGATTGTTTGGTTGGGCTCTGACGACTCGATTCTCTACATCAATGGCACCAATGCAGACATCCCGGGGGGTGTTGAGCTGTGGGTGACTCAGGCTTCGAGCTTTGCCAATGGGTATGTACGCCTTTTCTGTCACATCGTTGTGAAGGCCAGCTAACCGACCTCACATAGATACAAGGCCGCCTCGCTGCCGGCCTCCTTCTCAGGTCTCAAGACCACCACCACCAAGTCTGGCGATATTCGTTTTGTAGCGTATGGCCAATCGTATCCCAATGGAACCGCGTACAACGAAGAGCTGGCTGCTGCTCCTCTGAGCTCCGCCCGTATCTACGATAGCATCTACGTGCGCCACTGGGATTACTACCTCACCACCACCTTCAACGCAGTCTTCTCCGGCACTCTGAAGAAGGGGCATGGAAAGAAGGGCTACAGCTTGGACGGTGAACTCAAGAACCTGGTTTCTCCCGTCAGAAACGCTGAGAGCCCCTACCCACCGTTCGGTGGAGCGTCCGACTATGACCTCTCCCCCGATGGCAAGTGGGTCGCTTTCAAGAGCAAGGCTCCTGAACTTCCCAAAGCCAACTTCACTACGTCCTACATTTACCTCGTCCCTCACGATGGCTCGGAAACAGCCTATCCCATCAACGGCCCCAAGAGCCCCGGCACCCCGAAGGGTGTCAAGGGCGATTCAAGCAGCCCCGTGTTCTCCCCCGAGAGCGACAAAATTGCCTACTTCCAGATGAGAGACGAGTCGTACGAGTCCGACCGTCGCGTCCTGTACGTCTACTCTGTCGGCTCGAAGAAGACCATTCCCAGCGTCGCGGGAGACTGGGATCGGTCCCCCGACAGCGTCAAGTGGACGGCCGACGGCAAGACACTGATTGTCGGAAGCGAAGACAGCGGTCGCTCGAGACTCTTCTCTCTCCCCGCCAACGCGAAGGATGACTACAAGCCCAAGAACTTTACCGATGGTGGTGCGGTGTCCTCGTACTACTTCCTGCCCGATTCCAGCCTGCTGGTAACTGGCAGCGCCATCTGGACGAACTGGAACGTCTACACAGCTAGCCCGGAGAAGGGGGTGATCAAGACTGTTGCCTCTGCCAACGAGATCGATCCTGAGCTCAAGGGACTCGGTCCTTCGGACATTAGCGAGTTCTATTACCAGGGCAACTTCACAGACGTATGTTCTCGTCCGATTGGCTGGTGAACATCTTGACTGACAGAAACACCAGATTCAAGCGTGGATCATCTACCCCGAGAACTTCGACAAGTCAAAGAAGTACCCTCTGATCTTCTTCATCCACGGTGGACCCCAAGGCTCTTGGGCCGACTCCTGGAGCACCAGATGGAACCCCAAGACTTGGGCCGACCAGGGATATGTCGTGGTTGCACCCAACCCGACAGGCAGCACTGGATTCGGCCAAGCTCTCACGGATGCTATCCAGAACAACTGGGGTGAGCAACTTCCCCCCTTCTCTACCTTCCTTCGGACAAAAGAGTCTAGCAAAAAAAACAGGCGGTTCCCCCTACGACGACCTCGTCAAATGCTGGGAATACATCCACAAGAACCTCGACTACGTCGACACAGACCACGGCGTCGCCGCAGGCGCCAGCTACGGCGGCTTCATGATCAACTGGATCCAGGGTAGCCCTCTGGGCCGGAAATTCAAGGCCCTGGTCAGCCACGACGGGACCTTCGTCGCGGACGCTAAGATCTCGACCGAGGAGCTGTGGTTCATGCAGCGAGAGGTAGGCCCCCTTGCATTCCATTCACCCCCCTTCCCCTCTTTTATCCCAGAACAAGTTCGCTAACCCGTTCTCCACGCAAAAAGTTCAATGGCACCTTCTGGGGCAACCGCGACAACTACCGCCGCTGGGACCCGTCCGCCCCGGAGAGGATCCTCCAGTTCGATACCCCGATGCTCGTCGTCCATAGCGACAAGGACTACCGGCTCCCCGTCGCGGAGGGCCTGTCGCTCTTCAACGTCCTGCAGGAGCGCGGCGTGCCGAGTCGCTTCTTGAACTTCCCGGATGAGAATCACTGGTGAGTTTTTCTTTCCCCTGTGTCTGTGAGTTTGCGGCGTTGACTAACAGGGCCGTGTTCAGGGTCGTCAACCCCGAGAACAGCCTCGTGTGGCACCAGCAGGTGCTCGGCTGGATTAATAAGTACTCCGGCGTGGGGAAGAGTAACCCTGACGCGGTCAGTCTGGAGGACACCGTTGTTCCGGTTGTGAATTACAATTAGGGAAGCCTGGGCGATGTGATCGGGTGGATATCATATAGCTTAACTTCAGGTACCGACTACCAAGCACGCTTTTTAGCCATTCGTCGAGTCCACATCGTAATCACGTATTCTAGAACAAACAAAAAAAATGAACAGTCACCCGTTCACGCAGCTCAAGCATAACGATCGTACACTCGGACCGAAGAAATCAGGCTAGAGTTCTCCGCCGGCCGACCCCCGACCATGACCATAGCCCCTGCCTCCGTCCCGAAAGGCAAACCCCGCCTGTCGCGCCCTCAGACCAAAGTTCACCAGCATAATAGCCACAAGACCAAGCCCGACGACCGTGGGGCCCCATTTCTCGTAGTAGACTCGTTTGACGTCGCGGCGCTTGCGGATCTTGTCGACACGCCAGATGTACAGCACGAGACTGTAGAGGAGGGCCGTGGCGGCGAGGATGGTAAACGCCCACGAGGAGGCGAAGGTGATGTAGTCGTTGCCGAAGTTGAGCAGAGTTGCAGCGATGGTGCCGAGGAGGATGGAGAATTCCAGCCAGGAGAGGAAGGTTCGCTCGGCGGCGAAGAAGACCTTGGGTTCGACGCGGACGGGAACGTGGATGCCTGTGTGTGTGTGAGCGTGAGACTCGGCATTCTGATGGAAACGGTTCAAGGAGGAGACTTACGTTTACCCTTTGGAGCGGCGAAGCGCTTGATTGTCCGTTGGTTGCCCATGACGGCGATGCCGTTCTGTTCCGGTGCGGGCAGACTGGTGGGCCGCGGCCCAGGTGCAAGGGCCTTGAGCCCCTTGAGCAGTGCGTTGCCAAAACGATGAGAGTAGAACCTGGCCAGCTGCTGGTAGTAGTAGCGGCCTCCGACCCTTCGCGCTTCTTCTAGTTCGTCAGAGTCGACAGACTCCTGGTCCGAATCATATAATGGATAATCCTCGTCGCCGGGCAGCGGCTGAGCGGCGATGCGCTCCTCGATATCCAGAGCATTCCCGTCTGTCTCTTCGAACAGGGCACTCTGGTCGGCCTCGGTCACCGAGGGCTGGGCATCGCGTGCGGCAGCCCGGGCACCGGCCTGCGCCTCCTCCGACTCGTCCTCGTCCGATTCGTCGTCTTCCGGCGTTTCGGTGGCGGAAAGAGACGTGCTGGCCAGCGGCCGTGTGATACCGAATCGACGCGTCGCGGGCTTCCTGATGTCCACGTCCATCTGTGGCATCCAG